GGGCTCTTTCTACTTGATTGTGGCAACCTCCCCCATCTGCATGTTCTTTGCCATGGTGAGCTGCTTCCTGTCTCATGGCTCCCAAGAGGGACCTGTCCCTTCTGAGATTCCAAACTTCTCTCTGACCTCAGCATCTCATTTGTCCAAGGAGTTGACTTATGGTTTCTCTGACTTCTGTTGCCTTCTTGTTAGGGCGATGCTGTCTTCAGTTCCAGGCACCCCAGGTGGGAGTAGAGTAGGCTGCTAGTAGGTTGCTTGGTGAGATGGAGTCTTGCCTGAGTATGTCTTCCATGCTGGACAAATACCTCAGAGTGTGGCTCCTGCCCAGTTTTGTCACATAGGGAATTGAGGTTGCTTACAACATCAGCTATTTAATATCTTATGAGCATCTCTGTGCTAGCTCTGATTAAATTAAGGAAACAACCTCTTAAATCTTTTAACCAGTTGTATCTATGTCCAAGAGTAAAAAATAACTTTAAATTGATTATTCTGCTTGCTTCTTGTGTGCTTTTACTTTTATCTGGGCATGAAGTAGAGATTGAAAGGCAAAAAAATGTCCAGATATCCATTTAGTGCTGGGTCAGTGCTCAGTTCCCTGAATCAATGACATGCTTTAAGGCAGAATCCTGCAGTATGGTATTCAGGAATAAAAGCTTCTCTATTTGAGCAAGAGTTTTTCAGGTGTGTTTGATTTTATGGAAGAAAAAATGATATTAATTGATTTTTATTAAAATTAGAAAAACAAAATAAAGTGTGCTAACATATAGCCAGTGTGTTCTTTGGCTTCTAAGGATGGTGTTGTCTGCAGGTGACCCACCAGAGCAGTATACCTGGCTGTCCTAGGGTCCAGCAGGAGAGGAGGTAAACCAGGTGATGATCCCCAGGCACTAGAGAGCCACCTCGTCCTGTTGTTTCAGAAAAGTTCACCTTGGTCAGGAGTGGTGAAAGGGGAAGTCTGGAGGGACAGGCATCCTCATAATCAGAGAGCACACCGTGACTCTCTGGAATATGTTGATCTTCACATTGTAATTCTAGGCTGCTGTGAATTGTGAGTGATGAATGAGGAGAATCACAATCAGTTTTTAAAAAGATTTAAAAAACATGTTTAAATGGTGGATTTGTCATTACACTATGGTTGATTAAATTGATAGATGGTCAGAAACATGAAGCTTTACTTATCAATCTGAAAGGGTGTGAAGCTGCCGTTTCCATAGGGCTTGGGTGGTCTGCAGGTGGATAATCGTCAGGGATGGGTCAGAGCACCTGGCTGAGTGGGACCCTCAGGGGCCTGTGAGGTGAAGGTGCCCCACGGAGCTGAGAACATGGTCAGAGCCCAGGTCAGCGGGTGAAGGCCCAGGCCAGGTGTGTGGTCTCAGCCCCAGGTCTTCATGCCTATGTGATTGGACTTTGAAGAGCAGCTGGAGGCTCTGATGGGCCAGCCCAAGGACCTCTGGGAATTTCACGTGAGTCACTTTGACATGTTTTGACCTTTCACACCTCATCTGCCCCACCTGTTCCTGTGCCAGCCCTGGTGGTCCTGTTGTCACCATTCCCCAATTCAGCTTCTTGTCACCACCTTCAAGGCACCCTATGTGCTTATTGCTGGTCCTGCCCACCTATCTGTGCTGCTGTCCTGTGTCTGTTCAGTGGTCAGGAGTCCTGATGAAACCAAGGTGGAGTCCTCCATTGTTGAGGATGTTCACAGATGGGAAGATGGAACAAGCAGCAGGTGCTTGTCCACAGCGGATCCCAGACACCAAACAAGGAAACATGAATCAGGAGGGAAGGGGTCAGTAAGGAGGCCAGAGAGGGCAGGAGAGAAGGGAAGGAGCTTCAGTACTGTGCTGGAGACCATATCTCTAGATAAAGGCCCAGAGTCGTCGTTGTGCGGGTCTCCATGTTGGAAATACTTGCTCTAGTGTCTGTTTCCAGGTCAAGAGAGTCTAAGGGTGTCCAGAGCAAAGGCCCTGACGCTGGCCCTTGGCTGGGATGCATGGAGGGATGTGGTCCTATCACTGGGAAAACACTCGAGGACATCAACTTAGAGGAGGAAAGACTTATTTTTGCACGTGGTTTCAGTCTGTGGTCAGTTGTCTCATTGTCCTGGGCTTATGGTGAGGCAGTGTGTCCCAGAGGAAGGTGTGGTGGCGCAGAGCTGTTCGCCTTGCTGCAGCTGGAGGGGCAGGGAAGAGGCAGGGCCAGGAGCGACCCTTCCAGGGCATGCCGCCCCCGACTCCCTCCAGGTAGGCCCACTCCCAGACGCCTCCTCCCAGGAGTCCCGTCAGATTGTGGATCTGTCCATGGATGAATCCTTCCTGCTCTACTCACTCCCCAAAGCCCTGCCTCTGAATACTGCTGCACTGTGGTCCTAGCCTCCAACACAGGAGGCTCTGGGGGACATCCTGGATCTAAACCATATGGGGTACATGGCTGGATCTGGGCAGCCTTCTTTGAGGTGTGAAAAGCCAACAGGTGTGGATGGGCCTTCTTTCTGACCCTCAGAGGCCAGAGCAGGTGGCAAGGGAGATCTGTGCCCTGGACAGTAGGAAGGAGCAGGGGCACAGGGAAGGCGAGGCCAGGGGAGAAGGGCAGCCCTGACCTCGCTTGCCCCCTGCACCTGCTTACCACCCAGTCCAGGGGATGCTGGGGGACGGACGCAGCGGCTGTGCCCTGTGCAGGCCTGAGGGCCTCTGCGCCTCACTGAGGCTCTTCCTCGCAGCCAGGAGGCGGCAGCAGCAGCATAGATGTAGCTCCACTCTTAGGTGGAACCATAGCTTACCAAAAGGTTCCCCAAAGAGGTTCTAAGAGTCCTGGTTTGAATGGGAAGTAGTAGTTACCACAGGAGAGAGAAGGGGGTGGTGAGAGGACGGGGTGGGGCCTCCCGTCTCAGCTAGGAGGTGCCACCTGGTGGGTCTCTGTGTGGTCACTCATTGACCCACGTGGTTTTGATGTTTGTCCTCTTCTTAAATGTCTTTCTCAATAAAGTCAAGCTAGGAAAGGGTGGTGGGGAGGGGTGGGAGGGCAAATGTTAAAGGGGCCTGAGGAACTTGGGTAAGGGCTTGCCTGCCACGCTGACTGCTAAATCACAGGATGAACTGAAAGCCAATTCATAAAGAAACAGTCTTAAGTAAAATAAAAAGAGACTGAGCCTCGTCAGCGACTCCTCAACCTCAGTGGCTTAGGAAGGGTGAAATGTGTGGAACCAGAGAGCCAGAGGAAGTAAAATCCATAGGAAAAGAGGGCAACTTACAGACATGAACCATGAACACACCTTGAGAGTCGGTTAGACCGTCGGGGGGCTGCAGGCTGCTCTGACTCAGCCTGAGTAGTGACACAGGGTCCCCAGGCCACACCGCCCACCTCTGAGGCCTCTGTAGTGTCCTCCCAGGGAGCCTGCTACTTTGCCCTGCAAGTGGGACTTGTGCTTATCTTTGAAATCCCCAAGTCCCCATCCTGGGTCATCTGGGGACTCCTCTGCTCCAGGATCAGGGGTCAGAAAGGGCCAGGAGTGACAGAGAGGCAGCTTCAGGGCAGGCAGGGCTGGTTCCACTTTAGGGAACCTGAGCAGAGGAGCCGCGGGGCTTGTTAGAGGGATGTGCACAGTGGCCTTCGGTCCTAGAGGGGCAGAAGGTCTGTGGCCACGAAGTCAAGTCAGGTCTTCAGACAGCGGAGGCTCTGTGCTGTACTCGGGTACCATGGGATTTCCAGGTGACAGCTGGGGTCCAGCCGGGCTCTGCACCGGTCTGCAGCGCCCAGCCCTGGCCTGCTCCGGAGCTGTCTGTCTGTCTGTGGAATCACTGAGAAGCCAGGGTTCACTGTGGTAGACACAGTGGCTTCTACAGGGGTCCACATCCCAATCCCCTAAATCTGTAATTGTCACCTGACATGGCAAAAACCACTTAGCAGATGTGATTAAGGACCTAGAGGTGAGGAGATTGTTCTGGAGTTCCTGGGAGGGTCAGGTGGAATCACAGGTGCCCTTAGAGGAGGGCGTTGGAGGGGTCAGAGCCTGGCCATGGGCCCTTCCGACGTCATTCCACCTCTGGCAGAAGCTAACGCCGAGGCCTCCAGGAGGACCCAGCCCTGCCAGCTCAGTTTTAGGACTTCTGTCCTCTAGAACTACAGAAGGACAAATCTGTGCTGCCTGAAGCCACTGAGTCGTGGTAACGCGTTTCAGCAGCCACTGGAAGCCCATCCTGTGGTACCCAGTGCTGGTGATCAGTGGCCACTTGTGTGGCCCTGCAGATACCAAGGCACAGGAGGGGTCCTGGCTCTGGGCTGGCTTCCAGGTGCTGGAGCCCCAGAGGCAGCCTGACCTCTGGAAGCCGCAGGAGGGACTGAGCAGCTGCAGGGAGGGGCTCAGGCCTGGCCCCTGCTCGCTCCGTCTGGGCTTGAGGCATCCACACCGGCTGCGTCCTTGCCTTTGGGTGAAGTGACCTCTGCTGCTCAGCGAGGTGTTGTCAGTCAGGGTGTTATGCTTATAGCCCAGGGATCCCAGGGCAGGTGGCAGAGGAAGACAGGCAGTCAGGGTGTTATGCTTATAGCCCAGGGATCCC